CCTATATACATAGTTTTCTCACTCAATTCTGTGAGGAATACATTATGCTCATGGTACCAGTAAGGAATCTGAGGCCCAGAGGAATTAAATCACTTGTGCAAAGTCACCCAGCTAGCAAGCAGCAGAACTGAGGCCCGTACCCATGTCTGTCTGGCTCAAGGCATGTGCTGATTGACTGTAACATCATTTGCCTTCATGGGAAAGGATTTGGCAAAATGCTTGTCCCCAGATCTTAAGTAAATTTAGAATGCTGAGTCAGATTGGGGCCGAAGGAATCAAAGAATAATTGGGTTATATAATGATATGATTTTATGCTAATCTTGGCACTACAGAGAGATTGTCTTGCACTCTGAAGACTGTAGCTGCCTATCTGGTCTCTAGCCGCTCGGCCTTCAGTCTGGCCTCCCTCCAATCCATTCTCCTCACTGTAACCACAGAGAACATTCTCCTGCCTCTATCAGTGGTTCCCGGCTGCCCTCAGGATTACATCCAAACCCAGTGAGGCCAGGTCTTGGCCTGTTCTTAGTGGCCTGTTCTTAGTAGGCCCTACCCCGTTTTTAAAATCAAATGCATTAAAATATACCCATATCACTTACTAAATATGAATTCTATCATGTAGAATTTTTGAAACAATTCATGATTTGAATTTTGGAATTATTAAATATTCATTTTTTTTCTATGTAGGTGCCAAAAAATTTTTTTTCAGGTCTCAGATACTTGGGATCTTCAGGAAGCCCACAGCCCAAGTACTGTGCATAGATTATGTAATAGTGAACAGCCCTGCGTGTGGGCCCTGTCCCCCTATCCTGCATGTCAGGCTTTCTGTAAATCCTTTTTCTTCTGCCTAGAACTTCGTTTCTGCTTATTCTAAAACTGTACACTGCCCACACTATTCCCCCTCCCTCCCTGCCCTACAGTCTATTATTTTGATGTAAGTTCATAATGCTTAATCTGTTTCCTCATCTTTAGAATGGGAATAGCAGCGGTACTTTATAGGATCATTAAGAAGATCGAATAAATTAATACGCCAAAGCCCTTCTACACAAAGTATCCTGGGAGCTTGTTGGAAATGCAGAATCTCAGGCCCCACCCCAGAGGTACTGAATCAGAACCTGCATTTTACCAAGATCCCCTGCGTTGGGCCCCACATTTATGTGTGAGAAACACTGCAGTCCCACACGGAAAACAATGCCTGTTGTATAATAAGCACTCAGTAAATGGTAGCCAGTATGAAGGTGATGAAAGGTCAGGTTTTCACAGCTGTTTCTGGTTTTCCTTCTTGCTTTACCTTGCAAGCTCTATCTAGTTCAGTGGTTCTCAAACGGCGCTCCCGGGAAACTGTGGCACCCTGGGAGTCGGCCCATGGCACTTCAGCTAATGCTGAGGTGGTAATGAAGACCACGGTTCCGGTACTCAGGTACCGTCGCTCCCTCTGCAGAGGGAGACACATGAGGAAATGAGCAGTTGCAACAGGTGGTATCATAAGGGTTACCAAAAAGGGAAGTAGAGGTGCTGGTGGACCTAGTGGGGTCAAGGAAAGTGTTATCTAAGACCTGAGAGATGAGCTGGTAACTCAAGATTCCCCCCAAAAGTGGCAAAATAGTTTCTACTGGAAAAGTCAACTGACTGCTTCCATTATGTGAGCGGGGAGGGAGTTCCAGAAAAGATGTGACCTCTTGGCTGATGGCAGAGTAGCTGCGGTAAGGCGCGGCTCAAACTGCCGCCGCGAAGAAAAAATGTTGGCTTTGGCTTCGCTGCAAACCAGCCGCTCAGAGGCCGTACAATGCTTCATCTCTCCGAGCCTCGGCTTCCTCATCTCCAGGCCTACAATGACGACACGCCCCACAGGTCTTGTGAGGATTAAGTGAGGGGACAGGATGTACAGTTCCAGGCACAGGGTCGTGTTCCCGAATCAAGGGTTTCTTCCCTTCGCCCCTTCCCTCGTTTGTGAACCGCGTCGCCGCGGAGCGGATGTAGGCCCGAGGGCCGGTGCGGCCGCAGCCCCGACCCTTTCTTCCGGTCTCAGGAACCCCGCCCTCCCCTCCCCACCCCACCCGGCGCGAGGCTGGGAGGCTGCGGTGGTGCGGAGCCTCCAGACAGCAGCGCCGCCGCAGGGCAGCGCAGGAGGGTTGCTGAGGGTCACAGGTGGGGCGCTGTGAGCGAGAAGACCGGGCCTGGGGTGTTCCTGGAGCCCTCGGTGGCCCTTGTTGGGGGCTCGGGCAGCTGCGGGGGACAAAGGGGCGCAGGGCGGCCGTGGGGAGCAGGGGGCGGGGTCCCGAGGCGAAGGCGCCGGTCTTGGGGAGGTGAAGGTTCCTGGGCTAAGCAGGCGGCCGCGGCCTTCGCAGGGCGACTCAGGGGAGCGGCAGGACGGCCCCAGGCGCTGGGCCAAGAGGCCGCGGCGGCCCGGCTGGCTGGGGAGGGAGGGCCGGGCCCGCTGGCGCGGAGCGGGTCGGGGGCGGCGGCGGGGGCCCGGGAGCGCGAGGGCGCGGGGCCCGCGGAAACCAGGTCAGCTGACGCAGGCCGGCGAGCCGGGCAGGGGAGCGGGGCCCCGAGCCCACTTCCCGCATCCGGTCCTCCGCGCGCTCGGGGCTTGGCTTTGAGCTCTGACTCTGTCACGTGGTTTCATCTCTTCCTTCCCCCGTAGGAGGCCCAGGGCCACCCTTTCCCGACGCAAAACTAGCCCTGCGCCCCCTCACCTTCGTCTCCCCTTGGTCCCCTACCCCCAACCTGCCCCGTCCATGGGCAGCGCCGCCAGCTGCAGAGTCTGGGGAGCGCCAGTCTGGGCTATTTCGGTTCCTTTTTTCTCACAGGAGTCCTTGATTTCTGAGTTTCCCCTAGGCTTCCCTTCAGTTATTAATAATAATAGCTTAGAGCGCGGTGGCTCACGCCTGTAATTCCAGCACTTTGGGAGGCCGAGGCGGTCAGACCACCTGAGGTCAGGAGTTCGAGACCAGCCTGGCAAACCTGGAGAAACCTCGTCTCCACTAAAAATACAAAAATTAGCCGAGCGTGGTGGCGGGCGCCTGTAATCCCAACTGCTCGGGAGGCTGAGGCAGGAGAATCGCTTGAATCCGGGAGGCAGATGTTGTAGTGAGCCGAGAACGCGCCATTGCACTCCATCGTGGGCAACAAGAACGAAACTTTGTCTCAAAAAAACAAAACAAAACAAAAAAACTACCACTTCCTGGGCCCTTTGTATGAAGCAGGCATTTTGCATAGATTTGTTTTCTCTCTGATTTTTTAGGACCACCGTATAAGTATTATTAACCCTGACTTACAGATGAGAAAACTTGAAGTTCAGGAAAGTTCTTGTGCTCAAGGTCACAGCTAGTCAATGGCTCAACTGGGATTCACATCTTAGGCTGTCAGACCTAAACTATGTGTCCTTTTTGGCCTGCCACGCCCACAGGGAAGGCCCGTGCCAGGACCATGTTGAACCGTGGTGTTCTGCTAGATTCTACCCTAAAGGAGCATTGTCCTCAAAGACAGATATTTTCTGAGCCAGTCTAGGAAATAACGTAGCTCCAGGGCAGTGTTAGAAGAGACTTCCCCTACAGCCTGTTTCTTTAGCACTAGAGTCTGATCAGAGCTAGCGATCTAGAATTCTTTTTTTTTTTTTTTTTTTTTTTTTTTGAGACGGAGTTTCGCACTTGTTACCCAGGCTGGAGTGCAATGGTGCGATCTCGGCTCACCACAACCTCCGCCTCCTGGGTTCAGGCAATTCTCCTGCCTCAGCCTCCTGAGTAGCTGGGATTACAGGCACACGCCACCATGCCCAGCTAATTTTTTGTATTTTTAGTAGAGACGGGGTTTCACCGTGTTGACCAGGATGGTCTCGATCTCTTGACCTCGTGATCCACCCGCCTCGGCCTCCCAAAGTGCTGGGATTACAGGCTTGAGCCACCGCGCCCGGCCTTAGAATTCTTTCCTGACTTCCAGGAGAAGCATTTTGATTTGGGGCACATTCCTGTTCCCATCCTAATTGCCTCTCCCCACGCCTTTCACTCTGGTGAAAAGTAGGCTTTGCTTTTGTCCAGAGACTCTCCAACTGGAGCCCACCTTCAGATCAACATAGACATCAACCTAGAGAATCTGCAAAGCTGGAGGAGGAGGGGGTGGGGTAGCGGGAGGGAAGGGAGGCAGGAGGAACAACTCAGTGCAGCCACTTTCCGACCTCCCTTCCCAGTTGGAAGGTAGAGCTGTTCCAGAAGGGAGAAGCAGTAGTTTTGAAAACCAGAGAGCAGTCTGCACATGGAAGGCAGAATTTTTGTTCTGATGAGACATCAGGAGGGCAATGACTGGTTTTCATTATTTGAAAATAGTACAAGCACATTGTAAAATAATTTGACCTCATAAACATGATTACATAAGAGAAAAGCCTGAAAACCACCTGGAGGACCCATACCTTAAAAACTCTAGACAGAGGGTACACAAACAATTTATGAAAATCACTTCTAACCCCAGTCTCTCAGCTGCAGCCTCCCATTCTTCCAGGACTGAAGTTGGGAGTGGACTGTAGCACTGGAGCCACAGTGGAGAGGTTGGAGTGCGGTGGTGGAATGAGGGTATAATCCTCCTTTTCTGTCTGAGTAAACAAAATACTAACAAAACAATTAAAAATAAAAATGTGGCCTAACACAGTGGCTCACACTTGTAATCCCCAGCACTTTGGAAGGCTGAGGCGGGCGGATCACTTGAGGCCAGGAGTTCAAGACCAGCCTGGCCGACTTGGTGAAACCCTGTCTCTACTAAAAAATACAAAAATTAGCCGTACTCGGGAGGCTGAGGAATGAGAATCACTGGAACCCTGGAGGCTGAGGTTGCAGTGAGCCCATTTTGTACCACTACACCCCAGCCTGGGTGACAGAGCAAGACTCTCAAAAATAAAATAAAGAACCATTAAGAGGAAAGGAGAAATAGAAGTCAAGCACTGGGGATGAATTAATGACTGTAGTTGAGACTAAACGCCCTGCTGTCATTGAAAGGGAGGCCTGAGCAAATTGTATTGGAAGAAATACACTTTAACTTTGTTCAGGCAAGGAGCCCTGAGACCTGTCTTTTTTTTTAAGCCTCAGTTGCCACATTTGTAAAGCAAGGATTTTGGATATGATGGTTCCTAAACTGCCTCCGAGTTTGGAAACTTTGATTCTGAGATGCCAAGATATTTCCATTAAGTGATACCCAACTCTTCCATCTCAATACCTTGTTAATCATCTGACTAACTGCTCAGCTTTCCTGCTTTTGTGAGGTCATTACTGCCAGTTCCAAGTGCATTTGGCTGCCAGAGAGCAAACATTCTGTGTGTGAACCGGGGTACATATTGCTGTGACAATAGGTCTGGCACATTGCAGGGATGCTGATTTAACCTGAAACGGCACTCTAAACACAGTGTCATCTCCAGTACACTATTCCGGGGCCTGGGCCTGGGCAAAGTCTTCTAATTTGCTTTTAGATGGCATCAATCTTCATTCTTCAGGCCTTTGAGGAGCCAAGAATCAGAATCCCAATCTTATACCTTGTACCTATGTTTTTATAAAAGTTAACACATCTACCCCTGCTGCTTTCAATCAGGTGGGATTTGTTACACCTGGACCATCATTACCGAGATTAATAGCGGAAGTTGTGCTTGATATGATCGAGGGTTGGGGCTGGAACCCGTCCTCAGGAGGCACTTGCTGGGGCGATCTCTGTCTATCACTTGACTAACACAGTCACAGCAAATGGTCATGTTCTCTCATTAGCAGCCCACACATAGTTTCCAGAAGGCATCAGTAGCTCCTTATAGGTACCTCAAACCTACAAGTCCATAAACAGAGCCATAGATTAGGGTAGGAATGGGGATTTTTTTTTTCCTTTTCCATTATTTCTTGCACAGCATTCTGAGTACCATCACTGAGGCATACATGAAAAGTAGAAATAAAGAAAAGCACCTTCAGCAGAGAGGCTGAAGACTCAGGCTCCTAAGTTAGACTGTCTGGGCTTGAATCCTGGGTCAGCCACTTCCTTGCTGTGCTGTCTGACCTAGGGCAAGTTACTTCACCTCTCTGTGCCTCAGTGTCTTAAAACTATAGTGAGGGTTAAATGAGATAATTTATATGAATCACTATGAGCAATGCCTGCCCTATACATATGCTACATAAGTGTGACTATTATTGTGGCCAGTCCTATGGAAACTGACTTAGACAGTTATTCAACATTGACTGCAGGCCGGGTGAGGTGGCTCACGCCTGTAATCCCAGCACTTTGGAAGGCTAAGGCAAGCAGATCACCTGAGGTTGGGAGTTTGAGACCAGCCTGACCAACATGGAGAAACCCTGTCTCTACTAAAAATACAAAAATTAGCCGGGTGTGGTGGTGCACACCTGTAATCCCAGCTACTTGGGAGGCTAAGGCAGGAGAATCACTTGAACCTGGGAGACGGAGGTTACAGTGAGCTGAGATTACACCATTGCACTCCAGCCTGGACGACAAGAGTGAAACTTGGTCTCAAAAAAAAAAAAAAAATACAGTTCTTTTTGAAAGGGAAAATACAGGAAATTACTGAGTTCTGCCACATTAGATTGTAGCAAATGTCTGTGACTAGGGGTATGTAGGAGGAAGGAGATAAACAGATGGATGGACCAGACCCTTGTTTCTTCTACTTCCTTCTGCATAGAGGGTTTTGTACTGCACCTGATTGCTTTAATTTTGGGGGGCAAAATAATATGAACTGGAAATCTCCATGTCACAATATGTAGATCCACCTTATTATTTGTAACTGTTGCAGAGTATTACTTACTATGGATATACTCTAGATTATTTACAGATTCCCATATGCTGATTAATACTGATCTGATGTTCACTGTGTACTGGATGTGTATTGTGCTTTAGCACCTAGGTGCTAGAGCAGGGTAGAGCACCTTACCAAGAGGTTTGTAATTTTGTGGGGGAGTTCAAGACTTACATAAAATAATTGGAAACCAGTACAAGAACCTGTGTATAAAATATTAAACTGGATTAAAACTAAGCGTCAGTGCTAGAGTAATACTCAGTAGTGGGTGAAAAAATCAGATTTAATAGGAAATAACAACACATTGTATGCATATACTGGAGCGGAGGGCCCCGCTCGTGGATGCTCTGGCTGGAGTAGAGAGGAAATTTACCCTCTAGTTCCTCCAGCCTCCCTGAAAACTTACTCAAGACAAGAAGGACAAGTCTACTACACTCTCTTGACAAGCTACAGCACAGAAGCACAAGGGTGTCTTGGCAGGAGGTGGAATGCAGCAGGCCTAGGTGCTCTCCTGCAACTGGCTCAGCATGTGGGCAGCACCTTCCTCCCAAAGCACAGGGGTGCAGGGGAGAGTTCCCACTCTCACCTCTGGTAGGCCGTGTTGTCTTCCCTGAAGCACAAATGATACCAGTCCTTCAAGGTACAGTGACTCTGCTGAAGGAGCTGGAATGAGAACTCCCTTTTTTGGAGATCTTTAATCCTTTGTTTGGCCTGATTCCTTGGGAAGAACTCACAGGGTTGTGAGAACAGTTGCCCCACAGGGCCGAGCTGGGGACATTCTGTGCCTAGGTATTCATAAGCCAAGGCTGTATTTCTTTTACCCCACCCATAAGCACTAATCACTCACCTAAACCTGCAACACCTGGTTGCCACAGGGAATTGGGTTGTGTCAAAGCCCACGTGTAACATTCCTTCTGCAGGGCCCAGCCCAGCAGCATTTGGGGTACATTAATTGGGGTAAACCTTTTTCTTTCTTTTCTTTTCTTTTTTTTTTTTTTTTTTTGAGATGGAGTCTCACTCTGTCTTCCAGGCTGGAGTGCAATGGTATATTCTCTGTTTCCCAGGTTCAAGTGGTTCTCCTGCCTCAGCCTTCTGAGTTGCTGGGATTACAGGGTGGGTGCCTACCACCAAGCCTGGGTAATTTTTGTATTTTTTATAGAGAAGGGGTTTCACCATGTTGGCCAGGTTGGTCTCAAACTCCTGACCACAAGTGATCTGCCCACCTTGGCCTCCCAAAGTGCTGGGCGTACAGGTGTCAGCCACTGTACCTGGCTGAGGTCAACCTTTTGACCCCTAACCATATCTACTTACACTTCCACACTCTCTCTCCATACTCATAGGATAATTAATAATGAATTCCTAGAAAAATATGTTTTTATGTAGCTCTGTGCAAAGCATGGGGTTTGGAAAGTTGGGGTGGGAAGGTTGTAAGACCTGGCCAGGCATGGTGGCTCATGCCTGTAATTCTAGCACTTTGGGAGGTTGAGGCAGATTGCCTGAGCCCAGGAGTTCGAGATTAGCCTCGGCAACATAGTGAGAAACCTTCTCTCTGAAAAGTTTGAAAATTAGCTGGTTGTGGTGGCACGTGTCTGTCATCGCAGCCACTTGGGAGGCTGAGGCAGGAGGATCACAGGAGCTTGGCTGCAGTGAGCCGTGATTGTGCCACTGCACTCCAGCCTGGAACAGAGCCAGAAGACTCTGTCTCATGAATAAATAGATCTCAAAATATATATATA